AGTTACTGGCGGCGCATTTGATACAGATAGTGGTGATTGTAGGGTGGGTGAGTGCGACGATGGGGCCATTGTTCTTTGCGCTGCACAAACTGAAGCTTCTGCGAATCTCTCCGGAAGATGAAATGGCTGGAATGGATATGACCCGCCATGGGGGATTTGCATATATTTATCATGATGAAGATGACGCGCAGAAAAGGGGGATTCAGATGAACAGAGTGGAGCCGAGATCTGCAACTCCGAATTCTGATTATTGATGATGATGATCAAGGTAAAAATTCTGTAGTGTGTGTTATATTTTCCTGGAAAATTAATTTGCTGGATTTTTTGTTCTTTGTTGGGAGTTGGGACTGTGTCAATTAATTAATTAAATGTTGTATATGGAGATAATTGTAATGAACAACTTGGACTCTGGTTCTTGCTTTCTCTACTCTGGACAAACCTTTGTTTTTTCCTTCAAAATTCAAGTCCAATATTTGTTAGTTTATAATCTATTAGTAGGAGATATATGTCAATTATTGTTGACATTTTAAGTAATTGAATAATTCAAGTAATTGAATTGATTGAGTAGCGTCATCAAATCAAATGTCTAGTTGATTGTAGTTTACAGTTTTAGTTAAATATATATACCTAGCTTGAATATGTTTCACGTGATTATGCATGAATGTTTGTTTTTAAGTTAAAAGTATCTTAAATTATATGCTTGAAACTTTGTAATGGTAAAAAAGAAAAAAAAATGTTAAATGTATATACTTTTTAACTTATTTTTTAAGTGATTGAATTTCATCCTTTTTGTGGGAAATTCAGAAAATAACATGATAAAAACAATGCATGACATTTATGGTTGATCATTTTAAATTTATAAGACAATAAAATGTAAAAATATTAATTACATTAGAATATTTTTAGAAAGTTTAACAATATTTTTTTTCTGTTATAGTAATATCTGTTTCAATTAGAAATTGTACTGTCATCGTGAATTAAAAGATAATTTTGACTGAAGAGCCATTAAAACGCAGAAACAAAATCAGTTGTTAAAAGATGTTTATAGCCAATATAACTTTTTTTTTAATAACAAAATAAATTAAAAACCTTTTGGTAATTAATTTTGTCGTATTGACATTATTATGATTATCTTACGTGTGAAGCTATATGAAAGGGAGAGTTGAAATATTACACCCATTTATCACAACTAGATTAGTTAGTAGAATGAGAAATAAATGAAAAGTCAAAAGAGACCATGAGCTTTCACTAAAACTGCGAAATAAGACATTTTTAGGAAGAAAATAACATTGCACGAATTCATTGTGATCAATATTGTAAAATATACCACGTTAAATAACTATAAAATCCAAAATGTTAAGTTGATAGATTACAATGTATTTGATAATGAAATTACGGTTTACAAAAGATAAGATCAAAATAGCAATTATCTGGCGAGCATAGCTCAACGGTAATTGGCATATACCTCCAACCATGAGGTTGCAAGTTCGATCCCCTACCCCTACATGTTGTACTTAAAAAAAACAACTATCTTTATTCATAAGATCGTGCACGAGACGACCGAGGCAAACAAAGGGGAAATGTATGGAAGGAAAATGAATAGGGAGTTTGGTGAATTCATTAAATTTTCTAGTGCCCAATGGGAAAGTTAGGCACAACTGGTCAAGGTTGGTTAATTGATATGGAAATTTGGAAATTTGAATTTGTTGGAAAAGAAAAGTAAGGTTTAAATAGTATGTTTGTTTATTTTAATCTCTATTTTCAATCTTTTCTTTTTATTATTAGTCTCCATACTTTTGAAATATTTATATTAGTTCATGTATTTTAAAAAGTGACTATTTTGATCCCTCACTAAATTTTTAAAGAGAAACCAAAATATTTCATTTTTTTTTCATTTTTTTACAACATTTTTTCATTTTCAAAATGAATAAAAATACAAATTACATTGACTAAATAAATCAATAATAATGATGATAATAAACTTGGGCGTTTTTTGGATAGGTCAGTGGTGGCGTTATAACTTATAATTGGCTGGCCTTTCCATTTCTGACTCAAAGAATGGTCTCTTCTCCCTATATTTAATGAACCAATAAAAAGATGGGCATGGGCGCCAATTAATATTTTCTTTTTCTACCCAACCAATTTGCCTCATTTTTCTTTCTTTTGGGAAAAACCAAATTTATAAATAAGTCAAAAAGCCAACAATAAAAGGCCTCAATCTATGTGTTGACCAGCAAAGTTGAAAGTCTAGAACTTTGCTTACTAGATGATATTTCTCGTCGACAAAAACAGAAAAAAAAAGTCAATTTAGTTAGATTGAGTATCTCACAGATGATCGTTAAGCTTTGATATTAAACGCCTTGGGACAATAATCTTAGTGCTTCATTTTATGCAATGATCGAATACCAAAGCTAAGTTCTTCCTAGTGAATTTTTTGTATCTAAATTACTAGATAAAATGTCTGGCTTTGAGCTTCAAGAAATATCCCTAAGGTCTTGAGTTAATTAGGTTGATTGATATCAGCACCTGCAAAGCGGATCCAAAAAATGAGCTAGTTAGTCCTGAATGATTAGTTATGCCAAAAGTGAATAACAAAAATAATTTATCTAAAAAATAGGAATTAGAATGGGTGTGCCAATTGCCAAATGTTTGATGGTTTCATCCAAATGGGATATGAAATAAAACGACACAGTTTGGAGTGTTGGGCCTGGTTTGGGCCGGCGAAAAGGTTTTGGTTCACAGCCAACAATTTAGGACCACATAAGAAAATGGATATCTCATCTCCACACGGTTCCTTTAACAATCACATGTTTACCACAGATTTCACAACACAATCTTTTTTTTTTTTTTTTCTCTTTTTTCACAATCAATTCCATTTCCCATTACCTTGTTTTGATTTTTTTTTTCTTTCTTCAATTTGATATTTATTTTAGTCCCTATTATCATAATTAAAAATAATTTCGATCAAATCTCTCTCCATCTATTAATCATAACAAATATTTGAATTTGCTTCCAAACTTACAACTTACCCACTCTATGTAAGTTCAAATATTTATGATTAAGAACATCTTAATAGAGTTCCTGTTAAAGAAAATTAACTTTAATTATTAAAATAATTTATTTAATACAAAATATAGGGACTCAAAAATCAGGTGGGGATTCATGTGGCTCTCACGGATTTCGTACCTTGACTTTCTATGTCTCTGTTCCACACCTGATTTTTGCTCTCTCTATATTTTTCCCTTTTCCTTTTTCAAGATAAAAATCTTTATTTAATTTTACTTTCTTTTTCATTGTCTTCCACATCAAGAAAGAAAATTGAAAAATAAGAAGAGGAAATACGCTTAACACGTAAGTGATCCACGTGTCATCAAGCAATTCGCTGCGAAGCCGAACTCGGGCGCTGAAGCCGATTTCTTGGAACCTTCTCGCACAGTGAAATCTCACCGTCCATCTTCACGTGCGTCGAGTGATCGTAGCCGTCGCCTCCTCCACAGGCCCACTTTGCCGCCACGTGTCTTGAGCGACACGTGTTGCACGATTAACGGTTCAATCTGAGATTTCCTTTTTATCCTGGCCGAGCGCTATATATATGGGATCGATCGACACGTAGAAAATTGTAAATTGCATTACACAATCGAAGATTTCGAGTTTCTTTCGGGAAAATTGTTTATACAAATTGGAATTTGATTCGGATTTAGATTTCATTTTTACTGTCTCGTTTGATTTTATTGGATATGGCGTTGAGTATCACGCATCAGATTGGAGCACTGGCCGGAACTCCGGTGACCTCGGAAACCAGTAACAACTCATCCGGTGAAGCGGCAGCGGCGCTGAATGCGGCGGTGTTAAGGAAGTCGCCGGCGTCAACACTTAGATGCAGAGTGCAGAGGACGGACGTAGTAGATACGCTTTCGCCGCCGTTGAGTCCGTGCAGATCGCCGGTGCTGGGAGGGATGCGGCCGGATTTGTCGGTGGCGTGCCAAGCGTTCGCGACAGAGGTGGAGGCTCCGGCAGAGGTGAGGGAGTACAAAGAAGGAAGAGAGAAAGAGAAGGGGAAAGGAGTGCCGGTGTACGTGATGATGCCGTTGGATAGCGTGACGATGGGGAACACGGTGAATCGGAGGAAGGCGATGAACGCGAGTTTGCAAGCGCTGAAGAGCGCGGGAGTGGAGGGAGTGATGATGGATGTGTGGTGGGGATTGGTGGAGAGGGACGCGCCGGGATCGTACAACTGGGGAGGCTACACGGAGCTTCTGGAAATGGCCAAAAAGCACGGCCTCAAAGTCCAAGCCGTCATGTCCTACCATCAATGTGGCGGAAACGTTGGTGACTCTGTCACGTAAGCGCCTTTACCTTTCTCATCTTCGTTTTCTTTCAAGATTCATATAACAATTTTGGGAAGGAATCGATCGCTTGCCAAACTGGTAATCAGATTGAACTTTCATGAATCCTGTTTCTCTGTTTACTTTGTTGCAATCGCACATGAAAATCGATTAATGATGAATATAATTCATATTAAGCACGAGCAAACTAAGAATTCAGCTGCTCTTTTGTGGGGAATTTGGTATTAATTTTGTTTTCTAGAGTGCTAATTTTGGGTGAGGTTTGGGAATGATATGGTTTTGTTTCTTATTTGGGTAATACAGTATTCCATTGCCTAAATGGGTGGTGGAAGAGATTGATAAGGATCCAGACCTTGCGTACACTGATCAATGGGGGGGAAGGAATTACGAATACCTATCATTGGGGTGCGACAACCTTCCCGTTCTTAAAGGCCGAACGCCGGTCCAGTGTTATGCAGACTTTATGCGTGCTTTCAGAGACAATTTCAAGCACCTTCTCGGTGACACCATTGTGGTAAAACTAAAACCCTGGTTCTTTTCCTTCTGCTGCTTTTTCTGCAACTTCTAATAGACATAAATCATAGCTGAACCATCTGGATTTTATTGTTCTGGTTTAGGAAATCCAAGTGGGAATGGGCCCAGCTGGTGAGCTCCGTTATCCATCCTACCCCGAGCAGAATGGGACATGGAGATTTCCAGGAATTGGAGCCTTCCAATGCTTTGACAAGGTAGCTTCAACTTTATGCCTCTTCATCATCAATACTCAATAGGAGACAGTTATTAAGTTAAGCTGTTAGGTTTAGTACTAGTTTAACAATCAATTCCGATGGTTAGCTGTTGGGTTTTGTGGTAGTCCCAAATCTCACAAATATAGAAATGATTAAAACATATGAATTGATAGTTAGTTGTTGGGTTTTAAATCTCTTGAGGGTAAAGATCATGAAATTTATCATTAATCTATCCACAACTTTTTGTTGAGTTGTAGTTTGACATTTGTGATGGTATGTGCAGTATATGCTGAGTAGTCTAAAAGCTGCTGCTGAGGCTGCCGGTAAACCCGAATGGGGGAGCACAGGCCCAACAGATGCCGGCAGCTACAACAACTGGCCTGAAGACACCACATTTTTCCGGAAAGAAGGTGGTGGCTGGAACTGCTCCTATGGCGAATTCTTCCTCTCCTGGTACTCCCAAATGCTGCTAGACCACGGGGACAGAATCCTCACTGCGGCCAAATCAACCTTCGAGAACACCGGCGTCAAGATCTCCGTGAAGATCGCGGGAATCCACTGGCATTACGGCCACCGCTCCCACGCCCCTGAGCTCACAGCAGGCTACTACAACACCCGGTTCCGCGACGGCTATCTCCCAATTGCCCAAATGTTGGCCCGCCATGGCGCCATCTTCAACTTCACCTGCCTGGAGATGCGCGATCATGAGCAGCCACAGGACGCCCTGTGCGCCCCAGAGAAGCTGGTCCGGCAGGTGGCTATGGCGACCCACAAAGCCGGAGTCCGTCTTGCGGGCGAAAACGCTCTGCCGCGCTACGACGAGTTCGCCCACGAGCAGATCCTGCAGGCCTCCTCGTTCAAAGGGGAAGGGGACTCGGAGGAGAGAGAGATGTGTGCATTCACGTACTTGAGAATGAACCCTCAGCTGTTTCAGGCTGACAATTGGAGAAAATTTGTGGCGTTTGTGAAGAAGATGAAGGAAGGGAAGAACCCAGAAAAGTGCTGGGAGCAGGTGGAGAGGGAAGCAGAGCATTTTGTTCATGTTACCCAACCTCTGGTTCAAGAGGCTGCTGTTGCTCTGATGCATTAGAAAGGTCGAAGTTGGGTACTACAGTGTTGTATTTGTACTTGTATTTGTATTTGTATTTGTAGACTGAGTCCATACAGAAAGTTGATGATTGATAGGTTCAATAATGGCGGTCTGGTGGTCGTCTGTGCGTTTTCTGTAGCTCTCTGGTTTTTAGTTTGATGTAGCTATGGAAAAATGAAAGCTAATTTCTATGATATGGGAAACCTGTTAGGAAGAAAACCCTTTTCTTAGCTCTTCACTATTTTTTTTTATCATAAATGGGAGATGGGAGAGGAAATCACATCACAGGCAGCCCACGGGTCCATGAAAGGCGGCGAAGCCCAAGTCACGAGAAGCCCATCAAGTTTTCTCTCGTGCCAAGACAACAACCTTTTCCTATTGAAATTTTACAACCTGTTTTACGGATAGTAATAAAGAAAAAATAATAATTAAAAATAATATTTCTCAAAACCACCTTTTCTTTTTGAAACTTWATAGGTTTAAACAAAGAAGAAGTAAATCATCTGCTATCTTGTAAGCTTTTGAATGCARAAACAATAATTTAAGAAATTAATTTTCTAAAATTAATGGGTAAAATACACTTTTAGTCTTTAATTTTAGAGATAGGATTCTATTATTGAGTTTCAAAAAGTACAGTTTAGTATCTATTTTCTAAAAATGTCATGATTGAATGCTTGCCAGATGAGTTGAATATTTATTTAATATATTATATTCCACCTCCCACCATCAACCCCRTATGCAGRTTGAGAAGTTGGCATAACTAGRTCTCAAGGAAATGTCGGGACGATTAGGGYCAAATCCTAGRCTTAGAAGCGTTGTTTGTTGGTTGTTCTGAAAGTATTATTACAAGTTTATTATTTTGTTGCACATCCAGAGCTTGTTAGTTAAAGTTCAGGTCAGAGTTAAGAACAAGAAGTTAGACCATAGACTCCATAGTTAGTCGGGATCTGTGGTCGGCGCGACTTGTTCTAGGACTCGTAGGTGTTTTAGGACGGGTTGTGTCACGAGGTCTAAAAAAACCGAACTTACAACAATACGATCGAAAAAATCTCACTAAATACTCAGGTCGCCGAGGATCACATGATATCTTAGCTGCCTTTCAATTTGCCATCTACAGCCAAACCTAAAAAAGCAGCTTATTTACATATAAAAACGGTGGCAGACCAAACTTGGACAAAAAGGTAAAATAGCTTTCGGGCGTTTTTTGTGTCTTTCGGCCCAACAACATTAAATTTCTAGCTCCTTTTTTTTTTTTTTTGCTCCACGACACGGCAACCATATATATATATATTTTGGCAAATGGGTTAAAGACGTCTTTTTCACATAAAATGTTGTTAAACAGGTTACCGCGTGGCACTTGATTTTTATGTTTTTCGTACATTATATTTGACTAATTTGTGTATGTCCCTATCCATCCATCACTTGGACCAGTGTGTGTAGTGTCATATTTTTCTATACGGTGTATTTTATAATTATTGGAGGGAAAAATACAACATCAAACAAAGTCAGTTCGRTAAGATCATATCTGTCAATAAAAAGGATATTGCTCCGCTCACTCAAGTACGCAATTCAACTCTARGAACGATTTACTTGATCTCGTGTCTAGCATTGGAGTGCCTATTTTCTTTCTGCAGGTMTTGTCACCTCGCAAGCTCTTTCAATTGCTATGTATCTAACCTATTTTTAGAATAATTAATGTGAGGATGAGAGATTATAATTTGGTAATTAATTTGCACACGTGGCAGTGGCATGCAAATGAAATGGCACCCTCCTGCGTCCACTTTGACAGTTTCCGAGGGCATTTTCCGAGGCCAAAAAATTCATCAATCAGGAACTGACACGTCTGCAAAGGAGATCCAAATTTATAGCTAGAACCGTTACTCCCAACTTTCTTGGTACAATAATTTATCCTATAAATTAATTTCCCAATGGTACAGAACCAGCTCTCCAGTACTAAAAACCAGAAAGGAAAAAAAGAAAAAACAAATAATTTATTTAGTAAGAAAAAAAAAATGTCTAGCATGCAGCAATCCCTCAAGGCAGGCCAATCCCATGGCGAAACCCAGGTACCCCAATCTATTTATCTTCCACAAATTTAATTTCCTCCTATTTACTTATTAACTATTGTTAAAAAACTATCTCCAGATAATTTCGTTTGATGATGTATTTCGATTAAATATTGTGTCGTATTTACAAAATATATTTCTTTTATGAAAATATCGATTTATTTTTGGAAATTTGATGGGCTCAAGGCTAAGACCGAACAATTAATTGAATCGGGGAAGGAAGTAGCAAACACGGCAATAGATAAGGCAGCCGATGCTACCCAATCTGCCAAGGAGTCTGCCAACGAAGCCAGTCATGAAACTTCCGGTTTCCTCCAACAGGTTCTCTTTATCTCGAGAAAAACTTGTGTTTAAATCTTATTTTGGTCTCTGAGTTATTTATTTATTTTTTTAACGAAAAAAAAATACTAGCTTTCACGTTGCATTAAAAATGACTCTAATTTACAGACTGGAGAGCAGATGGTGCATATGGCTCAAGGTGCTGTGGATACCATGAAGCATACACTTGGAATGAATGACAAGAATAATTGAATTTTATCCTTTCTTTTTTCTTTTTTAAATTTTGTCTTTAATTAATTGATTATTGTCTTTTATTTTATTTGTATAAGGATCAGCATAAGTAGAGTTGTGAAAATCTCTTTTTCATGGGAGGATCCAACCTCTTGTAATAAAAATTTTACTTTATTATTATCTTATGGGCCTTCTCTCTTATTCATTTTCAGGATATTTTGAAAACTATTGTTGTAAAATCATTTGGGTTCCCAAAAGAATATCATGGGTGGAAGAAAACAATCTAAATTCCTTAAAATAAGAATTTTTGGATTCAATTGAATTTCAATGGAATATGGGATATGCTGGATGAAAAAATTGTACTTCTGAATTTATAATCCTAAATAATTAAACTCTTAAATTTTTATAAATGAAAATTTTAAATCTATTTTTATTCTATCTCATTTCCCTCTCCACTTTCTATGGTTTATGTGTACAATCTTTATTTTTTTTAGTTTTAAGGTTTAATTTTTACACTTTAATTACTTGTAAAAGTTTAATAGTTTAAATAACACCATTACAAAAACCTGAATTTCTTCGTTCTTCAAAATTGAAAGATTAATCTTGGATAGTATTGTTGCGAGACTGCTTGGAAATTCTTTTCAAAAGAAGTCTTTTATAAAAAAACAAATAYGTATTTTTTTTTATTTGGAAATTCTCACCATGATTTGTGTTAAAAATGAAGTTGTTACTCTTTTCTCAAATCATAAATTTATAAATATTTATTTAAATTTGGATAACAACACTACATTTATTAATCAAATACAAAATTCCGATTTAAATTTGAGTAATTTCAATTAAAAAAAATACTACCCTAACATCTTACATGTTATCTAAAAAAATCACGCCATATGATATTTTTGTCAAAATATAAAAATGATGGCATATTTTAAAATATAATATTTTATGATCTTATTTAATGAAAAGTTTTGTGGATAAAAAAAACGGCGGTCGTTGTGACCTGGCCTTATTGGTTATGGGCCATACACGTTGCAAAGAACTGATCTGATTTTATTTTATTTGTTTATTTTAAATGATTTTTTTTGCAAAAAAAAAGCAACTAAAAAGGTATCCCGAGGATGTTGGAGGCTGGAGCAACCGTAAATAAAAATCGAGTTAGTGGGCGGGGGAAGATCTGGACCGTTAATTTGCGTGGGGCTTTTCGTCGTTAAGATTCGAGATTTGCCGGGAAAGTTGGAGCAATAATGCCTTTCTGTTCGTACTTCCAGATTTGCTCTTGAAATCTGTCAATATTATCTACTGTGCCACGTGACAGTTGACATGGCTTTAATAGATTGCTTCGTGGGGGACCCACACCTCATCCATTTTTATAATTTATTTATTTTTTACAATATTAAACTTATCATCGTTTAGTTTCTAATATAGAAAGACTCGTTTTTTGTTTTTCATTTTTTTTGTTTTATCAAGAAATCTAAATATTTGATAGTTATTAACAATTTTTGTTTGTTTTTTTAGAAATATTCTCAAAATTTGTATATAAATTTTGAATAAAACAGACCAGTTTTTTTATTTTTATCTTGATTTGTAATTTATTTTAATACAACTAAATATTTTGTTTTGATTCTTAATTTATTTTAATATAAATAAACTTTTTTTTACTATCTTTTGGTATAAGATGGGCGAGAGATTTGAACTCATTTGATTACCATTAAGTTAAGTTCATGTTAGCTTATCATTATTGAATTATTGGTGTTAGAGGACATAAAATTTTTTTAATTAAAAAACGGGAAATAGGAGGAAGATATTGATTTTTTTTTTGTAAATACTATTTCAAATGACATAGAATAATACCTTTACGTCCATTTAAGTATATTAGTTTAGACTTCTACTCAAATTCAACTAATTTAACTCGATGGTGGGAGAAACAAAACAATACTTTTGAGTCCACTAACACTTTTTCAACCTTGTCTTCAAATGTATTAGAAATGATATCTTGGGACGGATGTAAAGTTAAGCAAATAGCTTCGACTTTATTGTCAAAAATATATCACTATGTAACATTTTAGTMATTCACGAAAATTGCATATGTCAAGCTCTAATTAAACATAAATGCGTCTTTTACACGTTTTTCAACCCATTACCTCTTGGTAAACATATTTTGATTTGGCAATACGTACATCAATTTGGTATATATCATTCATCTTTTCTTCTACGTGGGCATAAACCATTCACATCTCTAACTGTAATTTTGAATCAATTTGAACAATATTTTTTAGGTATTGATCCATCCACCAAAAATTCATTCTATCTCATAATATAATTAATGCATGGTAATCTTGCCACTCCAAGTACGGATGCAAGATTTTAGGCATATATATACGTTGAGATATTATCTAGATATCGTTCGTACGAAGTTGTTAGGTTTTGATACTCTCTCCATCCAAGGGTAGGTTTGCATCTTCATTCATTTATTTAAAATGTTAGGAATATTTTGATATTTATTCTATTAAACTATCTAAAATATAGCGACTACAATATAATATAATCGCAAATGGGAACCTTACTAAATGGTTAAATTCCTCATTTCTTAGAGCTTGGACATCCAATCTCCCATCTTCATGTTGGTACTAAAAAAACATATATAACTTTCAAATTCATCTCAAAGATAATAACCAGGTAGTATTTAGAACAATTTTTTTTAATTTTTTTTTTTGCAATATGTGATTATATAACAATTTTAGAAATGTGTTGATCAACAGTAATGAACACATAGAATTAAAAAAAAACTAGTATCTTAGTAGATTTTTTTTTTTTGAAAAATTATTATCTTAGTAGATTTGATTGATGGAGATCACTAATATACATGTATTTCAACATTTTTATATCCGTTATTTTTGCAATGTAGTGGAAATTCTAAAGTTGCTCCTTTGCAAAAAAAAGAAAAAAAAAGAAAAAAGAAAAAAAAAGGAAAATTAGATTCTGAAGTTGCTGCTTCTGATGTTTCTTTTCCCGTTTTAAGTAGTCTGCTTTGTATGTTTCCGTTAAAGAAAAAAAGAGGAAAAAAAAAACAGATCAAATTTAATTTTTTTTAGTAAAAAAAGAAAAGAAAAAAGGAAAGTAACGAGAAATTTTGTTGGGGGCGTTACATTTCGGTTTAGAAGTATCAACTTTATTCGATCAAATCCCGAACGCCACCCGCTTCTTACCCGCCGGATTCTCGTTCTCTTCTTTTCTCTGCCTCCGCCAAAACCTTCCCTTCCAATTCCACAGCACTCGCCAGAGGAACCGCTTCATATCGGCCGACGCGACGGCGGGCCGTCCTTCGTCTTCTCCATATCCTCATTGCCTCATCAATGCCGACACATTGAGCCGCCTCCTAAACAATCCCTCACCACTTCCCAAATTCTCCCCTCCTCCTTCTCTACTGAGCATAACCAAAACTCTTCTATTCAATCTCGACACAACATAACCCCCCCCCCCATTTTGATGGTTTCACGAAGAACGAACGACAATGAGAGGCCCACCACTGCTCACCAATTCTTCAACTTCGGTCCTGAGGACAGGGAGAAATCCCTAGAATGGTCAATCCGTGTCATGCTATTGGCTATTGTTCGTTGTTGAGGCGCTTGGGATTCTTCGCTAGCTCGACCTTGGATCTGTGGCTGATCGAGTTTGTCCCACAATGGTATCCGTTTTCGATGAATTTGCTGCCGTTCTCTTCCACTTCGATTTTTTTTTTTTTTTTTTTTTTGTGACATTGAACTCAATTCGTCGATTCGTGTGCCTAAGTTTTGCTGACTGGGGCCAACTCCAAGCTCTCACAAGCTAAAATGGAAATTTTGAAATTTGAAACACTACATTTTGTTTGTATGCATGGCTTTTAAGATGCTGTATAAGTCCATAAATTATTAACAGCAGTGTCTAGTGTTACATTTGAATTTATTATGCTACATTTTTCTGTGGACATATTATTATGCACCAACTCTTCTGTAGTCTTTCACTTTCACGTTGATGTCGGAGGTGACTCCATTGTTTTTTGTTGTCATTGTTGTTATGCATGTTTAGCAATGCCATTTTATATGCTTGTATTCGCGCTTAAATGGAAGACCCTGCTATTTATGCGGTGCATTGAACATCTTATTCGTCTGACAGGCTGGTCAAGTAAATCTCGTGGTTGGATCTCTTGTTTGGATTGAGGATCCTGATGTAGCTTGGTTAGATGGGGAAGTAGTGGAAGTTAATGGCCAAGATATCAAAGTACTCTGTACAACAGGGACTACTGTAAGTGATACTTCTCATGATGTTACGCTTGATTTGCTGTGCTAAACTGTTTATAACAGACTTAAGACTTCTTATTTCTATCCATTCATTCTACTTTTAATGTTGTACATATATAATGCTCTGGTCTATGCTTTTTGTGGTTGATGCTGAGTTGATGCCAAGGCATTGATTTGGTGAATTTTCTAAAGAAAGGTTTTTTAGAACTATTCTATAAAGCTTTGTTCAAAAAGGGAATTTCTGCTCTGGTCACAAGTTATTTTGCATTTAGTTACAGTTGAATCTATCAAAATTGATAAAATATTTACTTTTTAAATGCTAAGTTGATTTATGTATTTTGTCATTCTTAGTTTTATTTTATCTGTTGTTTTAAAAATCGAAATGATTTGTGTTGTAACCATGATGTTCGTTGGCTTCATTTTCTTCTTTTCAGCACAGTCGGGACAAGAATCTTACCACTCTTGTTTTTAATGGCAATAAGTTGAAATTGTGCCTTAATATCATGATTGTCTGCTTATATAAATTAAACAATTAAGTCCATTTCTAATGGTCACGTTTCTTTTTTTTAAAGGTTGAGGTCAAATCTGCAAGTGTCTATCCGAAGGATCCTGAATTTCCGTCATGTGGTGTGGATGATATGACAAAACTAGCTTATTTGCATGAGCCAGGACTTCTACAAAACTTAAAATTTCGTTACGATGTTAATGAAATTTATGTGAGTCACTACTCTTTCCTTCCTATTGGAGTAAATCCATTCCTCAGGATTGTGGGCTTAATCGGTTTCTTTGTGGTGTCACTTGTTGTTTTTGTGAACAAGAAACGATTGTTTCATTAAATGAAAAGAAAAAAAAATTGTTCAAAAATACAAACTTTCGAAATAGTGAAAGATAAAAAGAAAGGCTCCTCAAATAACTTTGAACCAGAATTTGGTGTCGCTTGTTGTTGATTACTTTAGTTGTCCCTTTTTGTGCTAAGGGTTGAGAAGTGCTGTTGTTTGTTCTATAAATGCCTTGTAGCTGTCATAATGCATCTTTATGATTATCAATTATCATTAAGTTGAAGTATTAGCCTGGTTAGTTTTAAATTTTCTTTACCTTTCCACAGACCTATACTGGAAGTATACTAATAGCTGTAAATCCTTTTCGAAGACTTCCTCATCTATATGCTCATGAAATGATGGAAGATTATAAAGGTGCAGCTTTAGGTGAGCTGAGCCCGCATCCATTTGCCATTGCAAATTCTGCTTATAGGTACTCCCACATATCCTATATGTTTTTTTTAGATAATTAAATATTTTATTTATTCTTGCAAACTTTAAATGACCAAAAAATGCAGACAGATGATTAATGAGGGTATCAGCCAGTCAATTTTAGTTAGCGGGGAAAGTGGAGCTGGTAAAACAGAGAGTACGAAGATGCTTATGCGCTATCTTGCCTTTGTTGGAGGGAGAGCCGGAGGGAAGTCTGCAAGTGGTGAACGTTCTGTTGAGCAGCAAGTACTAGAGGTATGGACTTGTAACTGGTTTGTTAATTATCATCAATCCTAAAGGTTCAAGTCATTAAGGTAGAACTATCTTATCATTCTATTGGTTTTATTGCCTTTTACATTAATTTTAGGTTCATACCCTCCTTTGATTAATAGTACGTAGAATGTAAATTGTAACTTACGATGGAGAGGAAATCAAAATGAGTGGCTTAAGTTCTTGAAGCATATGATCTCCTACTTATTGTTGAGTTAAATTATCACTCATTCAATGGGCCTAAGTAAAATCGTGGTTGACTTAAATTGTTTTTAACAGTTATATTTGTCTTAATGGTAATATTATAGCTAACGTTCACCCCTCCCCCAATTACATCTTCAAAATTTAGCACCTCATGTTTTTCTTTTGAACTTAAGTCGGTGACAAATTTTATCTATTTATCACATATTTGTTTGGCAGTCCAACCCTGTTCTAGAAGCATTTGGCAACGCAAAGACTGTTAGAAACAATAATTCAAGGTGAGTAACCTATTTTTGGAATTTCTTCCGACCACTGAGCTTTTTGTTATATGTTCTTTCTAATGTAATAATATTCCTGAGTTGATTACTGTGTACCTGCAGTCGGTTTGGTAAATTTGTGGAGATCCAATTTGATCAGAGTTTGAGAATTTCTGGAGCTGCTATTAGAACTTATTTATTAGAACGTTCCCGTGTTTGCCAAGTGTCTGATCCTGAGAGGAATTATCATTGCTTTTATATGCTTTGTGCTGCACCGCCAGAGGTAAATTGCCCATCATGATTTTTTAGTTTTTATTTTTATTTTTTCGGACCCCCCTTTTCGAGGGAGGAGTTGGGTCCTTTGGTGGGCTGGTTCCTTTGCTGTTATGTGGTTTTCTTGGTTGGAAAGGAATAGGAGAGTGTTCATCAGAAGGGATAAGATCGTAGGAAGATGTGTGGAATATGACTTTTTCTAATACTTCTCTTTGGGTACTCCATTCAAATTTATTTTGATTCTGTAAATAGGTTGGAGGGTTGCTTCCTTGTTTTGGTTGGGCTCGTCTTTTTGTGGGCCCCCATTGTATTTTGTTCTTTCATCTTATTAGTGAAAGTTGGTACTTATTTATTGAAATAATTATGAATATGTTTTTCCTTATTTTCATACATTCTTCAAATTGTCGTCTTTAATTTCATTCCTTATGGCTCTTTTCCCTTTTCCCATTTCTACAATTGCATTTATCTGTTCTTGTGTATTGTTTTAGGCAATTAGTATAGTGTGTACGGGTTGTGATACAGCATCATTAAATGAAAAAAAAACCATGGGTGGTCGGTGGTCATAACTAGTTTTTTTTATTCCTATTTTAGGGTCATCTAGTAAGCAATTTCCTAAACAAGATATGAATTTTTCATTGAATTTATGAAAATGGACAAAAATTGTTCAAAGATACAAACTCCCGAAGAGGTGAGATAAAAAACAATAAAGACTTAAAAGAAAAGAAAGAACAAACACACTTATAAAGATACAATACAACGGAAAAAGAAAGCTTCCCAATTTTTACAAGTCAAGCTAGGAGAATAAAGAGATCAAATAAGTTAGAAAGCGCACACCATTACGAAGCTTTAAACTTAGCCAGTTTGAAGCATTCGATCGCCAATCTTCCTTTGCTTCAAACGCCAATCTTCCTTTTCCTTCAAAGACCCTTTGGTTCCTTTCAAACCATAGTTCTGATAGGAGTGCATTGAGCCCATTAACCCGTAGTAAGTTTGATTTGTGAGAAAATTTTACCCTGAACAGCAGCTGATAAACATTCTTGGAGTCATCTGAATCAAAAACCCATGCTAAATTGAAGATATTAAGCAGCAAATTCCAGCACGAGGCCGCGAATGGACACAAGAAGAATATATGCTTCTGAATTTCATAATGAGCCATGCAGAAATCACACACGGAGGATTATAATGCCAACTTAGGTAACTTCTGAAGTGTGTCTACTGTATTAACCTTCCCATTGAGAAGTATCTACGATAAGAAGCTAACTTTCTTTGGACTTCTGGAGTTCCAAAATATTGCATTACAATCTTTTGGGAGAGTAGGGGGTATAGCAACGAATTTGCACAATGAGCTTACCGAGAATAACCTAGAGGAATCCAATTTCCATCTCCTATCATCTTCAACCTCACACGGGGTAAATGAGGAGAGACAATCCAAGTCGGCCACAAAATCGTCAATTTCATCATCTTTCAATGATCTCGAGGAAGAATTCCTATCCCAAGCTTCGAAAACTGTCATCAAAGGAGATAAGGAAAGACTGAAGATGGAGGGGAATTGATCTTTTAACAAAGAAGACCCTAACCATAAGTGGTGCCAAAAAGGAACTTTTCTGCCATTTCGTACGTTGAATCTGGAAAACTTTTCTGCTGCAAGCCAATGCTTGTTGATGCAGAACCAAGGGCTGTGCCCGCTACCTATTTTCTTAACTGCCACATCCCAACCGTGATCATTAGTATCATATAAACTTGCCACTACTAACCGCCATAGAGATAAGAGCTCTTTGCTGAATCGTTCATCCCCATTTAGCTTGCTACGTTTTTCTTCAATGACCAACTCCCAAGCCACCTTCATCTCGTGATAGAGAATAAGTATCCCACCGAACTAGGTGTTTCAATGAACCATTCAAGTAATCACCCCATAAGAACAACCTCATGCTTTTTTCTAGCTTCTTGCTAATCAACACCGGTAATTGAAATAGGGATAAGTAGTATAAAGGAATACTACCAAGAGCAGATGTACAAAGAGTTAGTCTAACTCCCCTCGATATCTGATATCTCTTCCACCGATCAAGCTTTTTAAAGATTTTTTCTTGAACAAGGGACCAAAAATCAGCATTCTTAGGATTTCCACCCAATGGCGAACCTAAATACATAATCGAAAACTTCTCTAGTAAGCAATTTCCTTACATCTTGAATAAAAAAGTTATCTGGCAACTTGTACTTTGATTTTGAAAATTTAGACTTAGAGTTATTGCATTATAGGTATGATTATCAGAATCTGGAAAAGAACATTGTTTATAGATCATAAAATATGCATTGCCTCATTTGTAGTTCCATTCCAGGATATTTTAAAGGCCCCTTTAGTCCTTTTTTTTTAATATTTATTTATTTATTTATATATATTTTTTATATTTTTAAGAAACATAGTATTAATATATTCCACAAAGAGGCAAACGGCCTAATGGCCAGGGTGGAGAGAGCCCCCTCCGTAATAGAGCTTCATTAAAGTCCAATAATGCATGACCATGAAAAGACTATGGTTACAAAAGAGTTTATTGTGGTTAGAACATTACCACGAAGAAGTATGCTGTAGACTGTTTCAAAAGATGTCCTCTTTAGTGAAATGTGCTATATTAAACCCTCCCACAAATAGCTATGTTAAAGCCTTTAGTTCCTTTTATTTCCACTTGTGCTTTTCCACCTAAATTTAGGAAGCATCTGATGTATAATGGTCAAGTTCAAATTAAGTTTGATGTCCATTTGCCTCACCAATGTTTTATTTTTCATTTTAAAAGTAAACTCAACATTAAATGTAGTGAGACATTTATTTCACCTCCTTGAAATTGATTGATTTTATTCTTTTTGATTAGGAAATTGAAAAATATAAATTAGGGAATCCAAGATCATTTCATTATCTTAATCAATCCAATTGCTGCGAACTTGATGGAGTGGATGATTCCGAGGAATATCTTTCTACTAGGAAAGCTATGGATGTTGTTGGAATAAGTACAAGTGATCAGGTATTTTTTTTTTCTTGAACCATCTACTTGCCAGTGAATATAATTGTACCGAGTAATTTATTTAATGTTTGTATTTTTAGGATGCAATATTTCGAGTAGTAGCTGCAATACTTCATCTGGGCAATGTTGAATTTGCAAAGGGGAAGGATGTAGATTCCTCTGAACCTAAGGATGATAAATCTCGGTTCCATCTCAAAATGGCAGCAGAACTATTCATGTAACCAGTTACCTCCTATTTTA